TATTTTTTTATCAAAGAAGGTATGGGCTTATTCTCTTCATATTTCTGTACATTTATTATTAAAGAATTCCATTTTGTGAGGATATATGATAAAGGACGATAACTTATCTCAAAGTTACGAAGAAAATGTTCGAATATATATAAGAAATCTTTATAAATATTAGTTTTAGAAATTAGATTTGCAGCAAAAATAAATAAATAAATAAATAAAATAAATAAATAAAATAAATAAATAAATAAGTAAAAATAAATAAATTTAACAGTTTATTTATAAAAGTTTGTTTGACATATTTCAATGTCTTTTAAATTTAATTAAAACAAATATAAAAATTTAATATCGAATCCAGTTAAAATTGCATGTATTGTATAATCTTATCTCTAAAGTTCACAATAAGGAGGATAAAATGTCTTTAAATGGCAAACAGCGTGAAATTTTCTTAAAAATGGTTGTTTAACCACAAACTGTAACCAAATAATCATTCAGTGGCAGTACCTCTATTCGATATCTTGCATGATAATATTCTTTTTCGATCGATTAATCGAAGTAGATAGATTCTTTCTGATCTCTTGCATGTAAGACGAAGCCGCAGAATAAGGATCGATTTACGCTATTTCATCGATCCTTCGCAAGTTACTAAGGTAAGCAAATAAATCTCTGTCTACCGCAAACAAGTATGATACAGGACACGTTCTAAACAGAATCGTACTCCATTATTATTATAGAGTACCGATTATTTGAGTTAGATATACTTTGCATTTCTAGCAGGAAGATGAATCAGAGACCTAAAATTAATAAGAGTTTGTTTAATTAGAAAATATCTTCTATCTTTTTCTGTTTAAAATTTTAAAAATTCGTGAAAAATTCGTTCATTATTGTTTTAGATTGTCATATATTTATTCATACAAACAGTTTTCAAATCAATTTCTACATGTTGCTTCGAATATTATTTATTCATTTTATGCATTACTTCCAGTAAAAAATTTGATCTGCTACTGTTGATTTCCCAATAACTGTGTATAAAATATTGTTAATCAATTTTTATTTTGAAGATAATTTATGTATCAAAAGATTCAAAGAGAGAACAAACGGTAACTTATGATGCGCTAATAAATTATTAATTACGTTATTTTTATTGGAATATAGAGTTGTTTGATAAAGTCGGTGCCATCCGATCAAAGTGGAACTGGCGCGACGCCAAGTTACGTTGAACGAATTTCTAGCAAAAGTGGAGCAAATACTGACGTACACGACTGTAGCGTCACATAGAATCGTTACGTTTCGACCTCCTATCAGAGCAATTTATCATTCCTTTATGTAACAAACGGCAAAGATGTTGAATCGAGATAAGTAAAGACTAATTTCTAGCAAGAAAAGAAACAAAATCAACGTCACGCGAGAAAGAAGTGACAATTAACCAAACGGCTAAAGTTTTTTTGTCGGTTGACAAAGAACTTATTGCTAACTCAGATTGCATTTCAATCGATATATGTTCGCTTTCTTCATGATGTAAAGAGCAGTGGCCTGTTTAAAGCGAAATTTCTTCGATCTACATAACACGAATCACTAATTACACAAACTATAAACAATGATTTGTGCAGATCGAAGAAAACAGCACGTGCAAAATAAATTTCGCTTAATTGATTAGGTTTATAATATTCCTTATAAATTTGTTTAGCTTGGAATACAATGTTCAATCATATAACAACAGTTCATATGAACAACATTGTAATTAATATCAGTATATATATTTGTTATAAAACAATTTAAAAAGACAATATTTTTATAAAAATATTTTTAATATATATAATAAATATTTTTAATATATTTAAAAAAATTTATAAAAATTTGCAAAATATATTAAATTATGCATAGAATGAAATTTTAAAAAAATTAAAGATCTAATATCTGTTAAGATTAACAAGCTTAAAAAATAAATAGATTAAAATATGATTGCTTAAAGAATTCTTAGATCGGGAAATTAATTTCTTGCGTTCAAAGATTAATTACGTCCGGCACAATTTTTTTAAATTAATAATATACATATAATAAGTTAAATTAGTTTTTCTTTAAAATTATAATAGATTTGTAAGATAAGATTTAACATATATATAAAATATTATATTGTTAGATTGCATATCTGCATGCGATCTTTTAATGCTATTTGATTACACAAGGACATATATATATATATATATATATATATATATATATATATATATTAAAATAAAATATGCACATATACACATACTACTATCAATCATTTGTATCTTTGCATAGAATTAAAAAAGACGAGATACATATATATTAGAAGAGAAATATTTTTAAAATTAATAAAGAAACATTTTCAAAAATTCTTCTGTTTTTAAAGTAATACTGTAGGACATTGTGACAACAAGACGTTTATATATGATGGTCTTAATAGTTCCTAAGTAGTTCTAATTTCGCCGTTAATTACTTCGCTGTGAGTACTAGTCAAGAGAGGTGTGGCTTCGTCCTTTATCCTAACAAGTAGAACATCTTTGTCCTAAGACTAATATGCACGCGCGAACGAAGAATGACGTAGTGAAATTACATCGTCAACTTCAGGAAGCTCCTAAACTCGCTCTATTACGTGAAATGTTACATTCTATTAAAGTTCCTTCTACAATTACTCGTTTAGTAATATTGACATATTTTCAATAAATAATATTGCTAAATTTCAACGTCGTAATTATCATTGTCATTTATTATAGTCGATTTGCTTCTCTTTTAATAATATAAAAATTTTTATATAGTTTTAAAGAAGTAATACATGTGTTTATGTTTTAAAGAAGTGATACGTGCAAAATTTTTCCAAAATCGTATTTGAGTTAAAATAAATTTAAAAGTAGAAAGATAAAAATATGTAAGTTATCTAAATAAAGGAAAGATAATTCTTTTAAAATAAAAAGTTATATGATTAAATTTAAATTTTTAAAACACAGTATTTAATTCAATATTTCTTAAAGACAATATTTCTGTGTTGGTTTCTTTAAGATGTGAATCATCTTGTAACGATTTATAAATTTTCTTGAATTATAATCTCATATATTATATCTATAAATTAATGCTTAGTCGAATGTCACGCATATAATTCCTAAATAATTAAAATCGAAAAAATGCATGATTAGCAATACAAATCATAAGAATGGAACGCATTAGTTGTGAAATTTTAATTTCTTATCGAATTTTATAGCTGGTCAACTCTGCGTTGCTAAATTATTTTCAAATAAATTATTCGACGAATTCATCACCGAATATAACGATCATTTTTTTCCTTTCACAATATAAATAAATTTCTATTGACAATATAAATTTGTTATTTATTGTTACAGTATATCAGAATTAAAATAATCGATATTATATATATATATATATATATATATATATATATATATATATATATTTAATAGAAATAAAATGCTCTATATTTAAATAATATAAATTCCCATCAATAATCCACCCAAATAGCATTGATTGTGCTAATATTTCATTGATTTGATCAATTAATAAAAATATAAATATAAATATAAATGTGAATGTAAAGTTAAAATCGCAAATAAATAAATAAATTTTTTAAAAAATCTGACAAGAAATTATTGCTTTGCGAAACTGTTTAAAAGAGAAAAAAATTTTATTTTTTTCTCTTTTAAACAAAGACAGTTTTGCAAAGCAATAATTTCTTGTCAGATTTTAAAAAAAATTTATAATAGAATGAGCACAAATGAATTATATAATTCGAGGAAAAATTTTGACGAAACTTGGTGATCTTAAAGCAAAATTTGCGATTTTAACTTTACATTTATATTTAAATTAGAAAGTAGTACCAACGACGCGAGTTTATAAGAATCATGAAGTAGCTCTATTTAACAGCATAAATGTTGAAAGTTTAGGAACTTTCGTTAAACTGTCTTAAACAATTAAGTTTCATAAGCTTTCTAAATTTGGGTCATAGCTCTAAATAACAGCTAGGTCACCCATTAAAACGCTGTTCAACCAATATCATATATAAAAGAACACTGCTGCCGTCGCGCATTATTGCAGCTTTGTTTCTTGTCAGCTTAGAATAATGCACTGTGTCGTTGCTTTTACATAATATGCAGTGCGATTGCAACAAAATCTAGAATTATGTTCATTTTCAGTTGCAGCGCATTTATAATTCTTCTTATATCTCAATCAATTATATATCGAATTAAATATGAATTGTATATCGATCAAATATATATCGGAGCATCCAATTTGTTTGCTGATGACCATTGCACAAGACAACTGTTACACAGTTGTACCGCTAAATAACGCATAATAACTTTTAATAACACAATTGAGTGAGTTATGATCTGGTTACTCGACGCCGTGGGCACAAGGTCAATGTCAATTGTCCATGTCAATTGAAGAACCCTACAAATTATGACAACAAAAATGTTTTCCTGCTCATTCTTAATATTTAAAAATATATTATAATTATGTATATTGAATATATTCTAATTTAGAAAAATATATTTAATCTTCTTGCGAATAAAATTAACAGATATTACTTTTAATTATTCTTTGTATCATGATAAATATTAAAGATGGCAGACATAGTATTATTCAAATGAATTTCTATGTTATTTTATATTTTTTTCGTTAATTAATAATGAAACCATATTGCTTAGCTTCGTTATTTCAGGCGGGATTTTAATAGAAGGATAAATTTGCAATTTTTATCCTCACTCCTACCTGTGCTGCGTCAAACAAGTCAAATATTTATGCTATTGGGATGAAACGATTCAGAGTAAATGAATGTGAATGAATAATAATAAAGTGACTATACATTCTCAATATATAGGCTTTCATTAAATATCAACTATATCCACTCCGACTACATATCTACGCATCAGCATAAATTGCAACTATTCAATGCGATACTTGCCGAAAGATAGAAAATACCGATTACGCGACGGTCTCTATAAATTCTCCTCTCTCTTATTCCAAAAACTTACCCCAAAAGAGCAGATTCCTCGGCAGTGGCTGCTGTCGGCATCCTGTTTTTCTCCCTAGAACAAAATGGCGGCGAATAATCATAGGACCCGGCCCCACCGGCATGTGTCGTGCCTTTATCCCGTCACAATAAACAAACAACTTGTAACAACGTAAAAGCAATTAGCACAATGAACGAATAGCAGTGTCATATTAGCGTCAATCTGCTTTTGTTAGCATTCTACATCGATCGCATTAAGAATCGACTTCTCTTTGTTTTACAATCTCTGGTATTTAGCACATGGTTCATTTGAATGTAAAATTACTATAAAGGTTACCATTTTTTACGGCCAATTAAATCGAGGATCGAAAATCTCATATTTAAATATTGCACACTTGAATAAATGAAGGGAAATTGAGTTAAACTTCAGGCTAAAATTAAGAGATAATATTTCAATTTTAATAGCCACACGATAAAAAAATACCTTCTGCTGTCTTAACTAAAGGTACCGAATTTTCTAAAATTTAAAACATTCGATATTGTAATAATTATATTAATTGTAATTAAAATAAATATTATAAATAAATATATTGTAATTAAAATAATTAATTAGTAAATAATTATATAGATATAAAGATGCTTGTATATCATACGTAAGAATTTTAAATAAAATCTAAATGTATGAAATTATAAAACAAATGTACAATGAAAAGATAAACTATGGCTTCATGTGTTCTACTAGTTTAAAGTCAAAGTTTTACTACAGGTATAACAACGTTGAGTTATGGCGGTTTGATTTTCTAAATTGACCGCGACTCGGATGATGGTACCCGGACCCCTCGATTGCTCGTATTTATAATCGCCCTTGGTCACTCGAGAAGCCGGTTCCGCGCGTTTCCGTCGCGAACCATGAAGCGTTGCAAGGATAAAGAAAAACGACCGATCGCATGCACGCAACAGAGAAGGTGATAGTAATAACGTGATAGTAACAACGAGATAAACCAAGCGGCGATGATGAGGGTGATTACGGTGGACAAGGGAATGCGAGAAGCCAGTGTTATTGGTGCGTGCACCTGAGGCTTGAAGCACGAGAGAGAAAAAGAAATGTCTTTTTCAGGTGCCACAACGTGACTTACCTTTCGCTCGAACCTTCAGCATGAACTGATCGATAGCGACACCTTTAACGTCCGATCCTGAAGTTCGTCCGTACTTACTAATCTACTAATCTAAAACGATATGTTGGCTTTATAGCCGATTCTGTTTATACAAGCCAAAATTTAATTATTTCCAAACAAAATATTCTACGAAATATTTTGCGAAATATCAACAGCTCTAGTTTTTTTTCTTTTTTTTTCTTTCTTGAATCAATATATTTTTATGCTCACAGTCAGTTAATTTTTATCTCTACAAATCTGTGTATTCCATGTGCATCTTTAATCGAAAGGTTCGAGAATTTTTTTACTCGTTTTATTGGTTAGTGTTATATATGTACTGTGCAAATAGCTCGCGTAATCAATGATTTCCGTGGGGAAAACGAACCGTGTTTAATAACAGCAGAGGTTGCTAAAGCTGCCGAGCAATTTATATCATGCGCGCAAAATTGCGGGAAACCCTTTGGCTTGTGTCAGATTCTGTGTTAAAGTTGTTTAATTGTTGAAAATGTTAGTTTTGAAATATACATTGCATTAAGTTTACTTTTGGTCAGCGTCAAAGCGAACAATCGTTGTTAGTAGTATTTAGAATAATCAAATTGCAAGCATTAGTGTAATTATGTGGCATTGGCGAATATATTTTTAATGTATTTTATTTTTTGTATGTGTAAAAATATTTTCAGTTATTCTATTTCGATACGGTAACACTTTCGTTGCTGAAGACGGCTATTTTCAATGTATACATATTTTTAAACATTTATTTTGATAGAAATGAACACGGTTGTGTTAGTTATATGGCTAAATATAACGAAATGTGTAAAATGTCAAAAGATCATTTTATTATATTAAATTATAATATAAAGATTATTAAATTTATTTTCAGAAAATATTAAAAAAAATAGATTTTAAAAAGAGCATAATCATATATAAGAGCATAATCACATAAGAGCATAATCAGATTATTAAATTTATTTTCAGAAAATATTAAAAAAAAAATAGATTTTAAAAAGAGCATAATCATATATGAAAATATGCAATTTTTCCCTAAATATTATATATTTTTAGAGTATATAAGTTTATATAATATTTTGAGAAAACAGGATCTCGAAAATGAGAGTATGAAACCAGCTTGAAAATTAAATTTGGGAATAATGTGACACGTATGATTCTATGTTTCATGCAAATAACAACTGCAGAAGGCTAGAAATATTTTGCACATTTGTAGAAGATGTTATCACATACGAATAATGTGTCTTCAAGGCATCAAGTTCTTCCTTCAGATTCATAAATTCTATAATTTTGCATATCTGAAGAGAATTTCTTTTCTTTATATCAAGATTTTAATCGTCAACATGTGCCATTCTTACTTTTATTATAACACATAATCGTATTATTACATTGTTATATTACTTAAAAGAATATAAAAATATATCATTTAATGTTTTATATAATATATTTATAATATTATTTATATAATATTATTATTTATATAATAATATTTTCTAATATTATATATAATATATATTATATTATATATTATATATTATATATTATATATATTATATATTATATATTTTATATAATAATATTTTCTAATATTTATATTCTTTAGATATTTTTTTCTAATAGATGATTCAATATATTACAATAGATGTTTTTAGCCAGTCTATAAACATGCAACGAAAGTTGTAGAAACTGCATCGATAGTATTACAATTAATTTCATGAAACTCGTTCGCTATAGCAGCCAACAACAAAAGCACTAAAATCATGCCCTAATGTGTCTTCAACCTCGAAGTGCTCGTTGCATAAACTCTTTAATAACTTGCATCATTTATTTTGTTGTAACATTAAGCATTTGCGTTTTTAAGTAAGACGTCTTTTATATAAAAGATGTATATATTAAGACGTATAAAAAATTAAAATATGTATATCTTGAACCGAAAACTCTCAACGTCATTTTAATTATAATTACAAAATTATCTTTAATGTAATTTTTTTATACATAGATATTCAAGATACAATTGAATCCAGCAAAAATCGTTGATTTTTAAATAAACCGCGTTAAGACTATCAGTGCTCGAAAGGGCAAGCAGATTCGAGATTGAAGAACAGCGACACGATATATCCCGCGATCGTATTCCTACCTGCTGACCGGTTTTTCCCCCATATTCCCGGACAATGTCGCTTAAGGCATTACCTTGGGACAATCGTGATGCTTTCGGGACGGTCCTCAATCAGCGGGTCTTTCTTCCGGATCTCAACCTTTGGCGAGGCGAAACTAAAAGCCTTCTTGACAGATTCGAGGACGCTCTGGCCGGTAGTCTGTGTCTGGTCGACGATGGTCGTGCTTTTGTAAACGTCTTCGCCCAGGTCGCCTAACGACCTGTACGAAGCGCCAATACCTGCCGGCATGGCGTGACTTCCGTCGTCCTGTCTCGTTCGCGAAGTCGTTCCTCACCCGATACGATCTACTTGATCGTCGTGCTAGTCGAGGATGACGATTTCCGTCCAGATAGTTGGCCTCTCGGCGAGGAATCGCCTCGAAGGCGCTTGGAGCTGAGAGAGACGTTGCTGCTGCTGCTGATGATAGGCGTGCCCGAAGCCGATATGCCAATATCGCACGTCAAAAAGGCAAACGAACGGCAAAGAAACAAAAGAAAGAAAAAACAAGGATAAGGAGATCCTGTGACGGCGATCGCAGTGCGATTCGAGGCATCGGCAGTCGTTCGATCGTAAATCAAATCGATTTCCTTGAGAAAGATTTTTATGAAACGATCGCACAATAGTCGTGGTTAATTAATATCAATCAGTAATTTTTTCTTTCATTACAAACAATAACAAAAATTAAATGCAACTAATAATTAGATTCTATAGGCGAAAATGTATTGTGAAAATATGTTTTTAAAATATGTTTATTTTCATTTTTATTAGCAACTAGTGTTTATTGCTCATAAGAGATGATAAAAATTTTTCTGAGAAAAATTTTGACAAGTTTTATAGAGAAATGTACAATTAAAAAGTTTGATGTTGTTTAGTAATAAATATACAATTTCATTTCTAATTATATCATATAATGACAGTTTTGATAATATTTTTTAGCAAATCTATTTGAATTATAATTAATTAAACTTTAGAATTTTGTAAAACATTTATTTCTTCTTTTATTGAAGTAGAAAAAATTTAACATACTTTATACTACTTTTGATTTTTAATCAATAATTACAAACAAATTTTATGAGGCACCGAAGCAAATAATTATAAAAATTTTATTGTATGATTTTGTACTTCGATATATTGGTTCATTTTTCTCTTTATTTTCTGCTTCGTATCTTTTTTAATAATTTAATCTTTTTTATTTTCTGCTTCTGTACACATTACACATACATAATTAAAAGTTATTTTTATAAAAATGTTTGCAATATGTTGCACGATAATTATATATTAAATTATGCGAAAAAAAGTTAATTATTACTATATAAATGGAATAAATGGAAATAATAACGCAATTGCACGAGTTGATTAAATATTTTTCCATATTATAACTTCCTGTAAATTTTTTTTTTTCATCATACGTTTAATGTACTCTCTATTGTAAACAATTGCAGTCATGCTCCAATGTAAACGTATTTGGAATCCGGATCAGTGCAAATATAAAGGAAAAATATAAAGATGCTCTCTTGAATTCAATCGTTAACATGGACTTCTAGGTACATAAAATCGCGTGAAAGTTTACGAAAATACACACAGAAACAAACAATTCTGTCGTTCTGACGAAAACAAACGAGCGAGCTGCTATTGTTTTCGTAAACTTGATTGTCGTCCATCTTTGCAACATTTGCCAAGTCAATGCACAGTTTCAATTCGCATTTTATAATTTATTGTATATCTTATCGCTCACACGTCGTGAGAAACAATGAACGTATATTAATTTATAATTGTAATAGAGATAAATTTGTTTATCTTTTTAAATTTCTAACAATAGTCTCGCAAGAATAAAAAGTTATTAAATTATTTATTTATAAAAGAAATTATTTTTATTGATTTAATTTACTTTTGCCGATAATATGATGAAATATTTATGAAATTGAATTTCGAGTTATATTATATTGTATGCAGAGAAATAAATCTGAGAAATGTATAAGCAGAACACGTACAAGTTCTATAGCGCATCGACTGTTTTATAATTAGACTTATCTCATTGTACGACTTTGATCGAAAACGTTATTGCCGATGCCTCGCAGAATCGTCCTCGCTAAAATATAAAAAAATGAAGATGCGTGTCATATGATCGACATGCACAAAATCCATCGATTTCTTTGTTGATATCGAGAAAATCATGCATGGCGACATGCCAATTAAAAACTATTTAATTATGCATCTTCGTGAAACGTATCGATAAACAGGAAACGTGCGAACAATATAAATAGTGTCGTGTTTTAGTCAACTATCCTTATCAATTAATCAAGCGCGTGCCAATAAAATGATTAATATATAAATTCTTCTAGGATCTATATCAGTCACTGATCGTGAGACTAACGTGAAACGTGATGTAAATTCGTAAGAGAAACAGACAGATACATGCAAAAGAGAATCGTACGATAAATATATCGTACGATAATATATAAATATACGATAAATCGAGTTTGTGAATTCGTCTGCGATTAACATCACTTCAATCTATCGATCAAAAGACACGCGCATTTATTACACTTTTTCCTTCTAAGGTTTCTATCGTTGATAATCGATAAGCACATAGAGATTAAAGATTTAATTTATTACGCATGCACGTCTATCTCTTAATATGGGTGTAGTCCATTGGGTGTAGTTATTGATCTATATAACGTTCGATGAATCGCAATCCAAGAGAACTGATTCAGACTGGATTTATATTTAAAGACCTTATTATAGCAAATTGGCTCCAAAATCCTTTGAATATATGTACCAAACTAAATTATATATTAGTTGTAAAAATAAATTCGTAATTCTTTTTTTTTTTTTAAAGAAATTAAATCAGAACATTAACAATAAGAACATTAATCTGATATTACGATCTTCCTGCCAATTATGATTTCCGCTAGTTAAAAAAATTATTTCATAACGTGCTACGATATTATCGTTATTATTGTGAACGCTACAAATGATTATTGTGCGACTAACATTAAAATGAAATCAATGTAAAGAATCTTCATGCGCAAACAATTATTCAAATATCGCAAATTTTGTTACTTAGAAAAATTATTATTTGATAACTAAATGTTGTGTTAAATGAAACGGAATTTATAAACATTTGTTTAAAAGTTTGTACATATTTTTTATCCTTGAATATCCATTTTCTTATTAATTTGATAAAAAAATGAGCTATATAGCTTCGTGCCATCACGTTATTAAATTACACCAACACATTATTAAATTACACCGTTTAATTATCTGCAGCAAAACAATTTAATTTCTTTATGAGATAAAATAATTCGCTAAAAATATGAGAGAAATATGATGAGAACTATACTAGAGAACGTATACTTCTATTTCAATTTATTTGATTTCAAGTCAAGCACGCGTCACTTTAGAGTCAGCCAAGCTCTTCAAATATCGATAGCGCCGAATGCAACTGGATCAGCTGCGAGCCCGACTTGCTTATGGCCTCGCGTCAGCAGACGGGAAATCGATCTGGCCAGGACCTTTCCGGGCAAAATATGTATGCATGTCGCTGTTGGGGTTCACGCAGTGATCACCAATTCGCGATGGACTTCCGTGCGCGTTGTAAACCGGGTCCCAGGAGAGTCACGTATTGATTTTTCGCGTAGATACTCGCGTGTAACGTCGGGGTTAACCCCGTTTCTCGACATCTAATTTTTCGTCCGACACTGCCCGACTTGACATCGACTCGAACTTGTCCAATTAATTTATTTCATTTAAGAAAATTTTAGCATCGATGATATAATAAACAATACGACATATTTATTAATGTAAATATTTTCGTTATCTCCCCGATATTTCCCTTCAATTTCTCTGTTATTGATCCACTGATTCAAGCGATTAAGAATTGCGATTATCGACGATTACGCTCAGATATAAAATTCATTAAAAAATGTATGTAAAAAATACGTTTGTTACATAAAAAAAATTTAAGAGTATCAATTAATTAAAGATGTTTTATATACATATAACAATGAAAAATTTTGTCTAATAAACTTTTCTGATACCATTTAATTTATCAAATCAATTCAACAAATGTTTGTTATAATAATTGCATAAAATATTTTTTATATATCTATGTTAATATTAAAACATATTTTTATGGAACTTTCGATTATCCGATCTTTCAGAGATTATCACGTTATTTAGATTTATTAATTCAATTTTTGTTTCTGATAGCGTGTATTTATAACTGAAGAACAATGAATCATTGATCTGTTCATTATTATAGTCTAATGTGGCCTGAAACGACAAGGCGAAGCATCATAACGTGCATGCGTTCTTAAGGAGAAGAATTTCTATACTTTTTCTTATCCGTTGCCCCACTTTGATGCATGCGATATTTTTCCACCAAATTTAATATAAAGACGCATACGCTTTATTTAACACGTAGCTTTGAAAGTAAAGACTTTGCCAGTCCGATGAAAAATCTTATCACGTCTGACAGTTTATTTTTGTATCTTGCGACTTTTTTCCATCCTACAACTCACGTAGGATCGATCCAGGACCCTTCGAGCGTCATCAAAGCAGCTGCAAGCTGTTACGTCTGCGATGTCAGATAACTGTTAAGATAATTGTTGGATGCTGGGAATTGGGATTGGACGCGTAAAATGTGTTTATTTACTTCTCTCTTTTAAGAAGAGATATAAAAGTTCTTTAGAGAAAACTAAGGATATAAATTATCTTTTCGATGAAGCAATTAATTTAATTCTTTTTTAATATTCACTTTAAAAGACGGAATATTATGAAACATTTAGAAATATCAAGAAAATTATCAACTCTAATATTTTCTAGCTACTATATTTCAAATTCGCCAACAACATTGATTCGCGAAAGTTGTCGTTACGTAAACGTGATCTATAGACACCGAGTGCCCAGGAAATTTAGGAGAAGGAGATAATTTTGTCCACACATGCATTCGGATAAGAACCTTCTTCTAGGCTACATAAAAGTGACATTCGTTGAATATTCAAACTTCGAAAAGTATAAGGGAAACAGGTAAAAAGCAGAGGGAGGGCTGAGAGTCGAGGGTTGAGATCCTACTTCGCGATACGTAACAGCCAGCACTTGTGCTCGATCGAGGACTGGCATCGACCACGTATTATTCCACGACGTCTAGCTTTTCTGGGAACGATCGATCGTCCGGTCTAACCCCATTTCCCGACAGCCGACAGTTGGTCTCGCGCCCCGATGAGACCAATGTAAAGTCGCCTCCTCAGCGACTTTAGCGCGAGATCGTTCGCGATCGATTTAGCGCGCCAGGTTCGACCTTCGTGGTTGCAGCGCCGACGTTGAGTATGACTCAACCAAGTTATCACGACGTCATCGACCGTCATCAGCAGCTTTTGTCAACGAACGACGATAAGGAGCGACCTGATCATTGACGCGCGCGACTGTCCGCACGATTTCACGAGCGCGCAGATAGATTATCAGGGACGTCTGATCGATAGGTCGAAGCGATGGAGAGCGACTTCCGAAGGGATGCGGCAGACGAAAAGGCGGACGAAGAGTCAGGAAGGTGCAGAGAGAAGGCTCGTCTGGGACTCACCTCTTCCTACGCGAGTTCCGCTGCGGGATCCGAGTGCCAAAGAAGAGTTGCAGCTTTCGCGCAGCCTTTGAACGCGTTCACCAGAGAGAACCTCGACGCGTTCTTACAGTCGCGATGAGAGTCGTCCCGTCTCTTACGGGGGACGCGCGCAATCGGAGCGACCGTAAACCTTATGCAATTTGACAATCGACCCGCGCAGATCGCCCGCTCGATTTGCGTCGACCTTTAGACGTGACGTTGCGAGAAGATGGAGCACCACGACGAGACTGAGGTCTCTTGAGGAGCGCACGGTGTACTCGACGATGTCGTACGGTTACTATTGGCCCAAGTGCACGGCTCCAACCACGGACTGGCTGGTCAATGGAAATGCGCGTTGCTTTATGCGCGGTATACACCGGATCGAACCGGTTACAGACAGACTGCCGACATCTGGTCACGAGAAAGTACACCCGCCCATGTTCACCCATGTTCAGAATTCCCGCTGCAAACCAAGCAAGAAGCTGACTTACTCGGCCGGTCGATTATCGGGTGAATGTTCAGACGTGGTTCCTAAAGATACTTGGCGAGGAACTCACCAACATGACAGGAAACCGAGATATCTAGCGTTGATATGATTTAAATGCACCTTTCTACTAGAAGATGGTATCAATATGAATTTTTGTGCCACAATGAATTATTTTGAATGTTTTTTTAAGAGGAACTGATCAATTTGCAAAAGGTTGAATACAAGATATGAGTTACATTTGCAATTAATCTCTTTGAATTACACTTGTATTTCATTCATAATAATATGATATAATATGCGTGACGAAATGAATTTTATTATCGACATTTCTCGTTTTTTAAATAATTATTTCTTATTAAACTTCTGAATTAAAAATATAGAGAAACGGCTTAAGGAGCGTGAATGAAAATTACATTAAATTAACATTATTCTGTAAATAAAATTTAATTATACAAAAATAATAAGTAATGACATCATGTTGACAAATATAAATCAGAATGTAAATAAATACGTAATATGTAATGAAAGCGGACGTTTCGGCTCAATTTTTTAAGTCTTCTTCAGCGCAAAATTACTTTAGTAGTCGTGGATAAACTAAGCTAATCTTAAAAATTTAATGATATAGAAACCATAAAGGTATCGCAAACCGAACGCAAAAGCCGATGGTGATGTAGACTAAAAAAAAATTTTTTCCTCAAAGATACTTTGGTCCTATCTAATTCGATTGTTAGAAGGTTCATGATGTCCATTATAATTGTCATTTTATCATAAAATTCTACATCTAAAACCAATATCATTTTAACGGTTAAAATTTTGAATGTTCTTAATTTCTTTTGTCTTCAAATAAATACTAGCGCAAGATGCTTGACATGCATAATAGGAATTTTCCAAGGAGATTAATGTAATTAAAATACGAATATGTTGCATATATTTGCATCTAATATATCGATGATGCATTTATAAGAAATTAGAGTAATATTTCAGCAAGAATAAATAAATAAAATATACATCCTTTTCCGCATTCGAGAATATATTCAGTGTACATGCGGATTATTTGTTCGATACTTTGCAATTATTTCGCGAGGCTAAATGCATTTCCAGGAATTTAATTCTAGAGTATCATCCCGCATCCCCATCTGGAACTTCCGATTGGCTCTCGTTTACTCCGTCGTTCAAATTAGCCCGCAAGAACTGGAGAGCTGTCTAAGCGACTGTCTCTCGTAATCGAACCGAGTTGAGTAGCAGAAGAATGGAACAACGGGCCGGAAGAGCTCTCGAGAGGGTTTAAGAGGCGCTACATTTTATGGAATTCACTCGGAGTCGGAGAGAGATTAAATGAGAGGCGGAGGAAAGCTACGATGAGATCTTCACGGATGGAATCGGTGCCCTGGAATTGCGGAACGTGCGTCGAGAAGGGAGGGGATTTAAAATCGCGAATCTCTCTATTATCTCGCTCCCTCGACTCTTCTAGACGACACCACCGGAGTAAACGAAGACCTCTTCTATTACGTCCATCTCAACGCTTGGATAATCCGCTTCGTGAATTATTGCGGCGAATCTGCCTTATTTATGCTCGGAGTTGAAAGAATTTTTTTTTACGACATGCTACAATTCCGAGAAATGATGGTTGGTTTGATATTGTCAACAAGTTATATTAAAAATAATAATAAATATAAGGATTCTTAAAAATTATTTCGTGACATTTCTCTTTCCTTTATTTCTGAATCGAATCAATTTTTCTATATTCGCCGTTGACAATAATAGCTATCTCCTCGATGAAAATTCAGCTGACATTTGAGGCATCATATTTTATCGCAGTTTTATTTAGTAACGCAAATAGTATTATATATAACGTAATCCCTGTGAATCAATTTAATTCTGAGTACAAGGTTTTTGTAAATTATTATTCAATCTTTGACTTGACGAATAATTTTACTTTGAAATAGATGGATATTTATTTCATGTAGATCTTTGTTTTGAAATCTCGGTGTATATTAACTGAATATTTTTGATGCTCTATATAAAATATCTAGACTTTGAGTATTCGAAAGTCCGACAAGAACCCGCGATGAAAAGATAACATCGGATGTTATGCCAAAACACGAATATGCATTCTCCATTTTATAATAATTCGGATTGAATTTTAGTTCACACAAAATTATCTCTCGCGTAGGGACGATCAACGTGCGCTGATTTTGACGAAAATTTGACGTATAATAATTACCTCCGACGCATCCGAAGCTGAGCCAAGAAAGGTAGAGGAAAGGAGGAGGGGCGCGAAATATCCGGCGAGAGCTGACGTATCTTCCGACGATATCCCTTTACGAATCCCACCGATGTGATACATCGCACCTGAACGCCCATCCTAAACCACCCCCTCTTACCCCGCGACCACCTTCGAGCTCTAACCTTCGGAATCCTCTCTCTCCGCCGGATGATATATATTTCCCTGAGTATATTCATCATGAAAATGTATATTTATGTATACTTCCGCTAGCCCGTCGCTCGGTTATACATACATATATATATTGTTACCACACGTCACCCCCGCGGGTTTTCGTCGGACTTACCGCTGCCCCGTATACGTCCGCAAAAGGTGCTTTATAATGCGCATGGAACGTAGCAGACATATTTTTCCTGTCCGTGTCCCGCTATGTTATATCCCTTCCCGACAAGAAGGAACCGATCCTTTGTAGAAAAAAACTCGTCGGGGTATTTAGTCTGTCAACCGCTATGACGAATCGTCATGAGGAAGGCCGGTTTTAAAGCTGTATGAAACGTATTCCTTTATGATATTTTGATGTGTACACTGAGAAAAATCGTTTGATTGTACCAATAAGATATACATGATTGAAGGCATTTTGATTAAATCAAATATGAATTTCTAGTTATCGTGATAAGACTCGATTTTTTATAATTAGAACGTTTAAGGATGTTTTATATGTACAATCCCAGCAAAAAGTAGCTGAAAATCAATATTGAATATATCCACTTTATTTTGAGTATGAGAAATTGTGGAATATTACAATTTGATCTTAACTACAGTGTAGAAATGTATTTTTTAATATTAAATTAATTTTAAATGTATTTTTTTAAATATTAAATTAATATTAAATGTATTTTTTAATAATAATATTTGCGTTTTTATTGAAATATTCCGAATTTTGTTAATCGAAATGATTAACTTTTGGCAGAGAATTTCGCCTTGTGACAGATACATAGCTAACTTTATTGAATTATATTTAATATCTTTTTAACCAGTTAGTACTTATATAATATTACTTGACCAAATATTTTCTCTATATCTAAACTCTTGCAAATTTTAAACAAATTCGGAATATTATTTCCATGTGTTTCTGTCATTTGAATCGACATAGTTATACGTTTCCCATAAGAACACATGTTCGGTGCAAATTAAAATCCTTATAAGTTGTAAACGCTTTAGTGAATCGATTTAAAAATTGTACTGAAGATTCTAAACATATGTAAGAGCATTCTGTACAATTTTCATTAAATTCTCAATATTTTGAAAATAGATACAAAACATCCTTAATAGATTTTACTATAAAGATTATGATGGGTTAGTATTTTTTGATTGGATCTATAAAATTTCTTGTTACATTAATTTCTTTGCTTGCCACTCTTAACTTAACTCGTATTCAATATTTGCCATGAAATGTATATAAAGAACTAGTATTAACGTTAAATCCAAAGTATATTTTTTTTCTCTTGCGAGCAGTAGTGCCAGAAAGAGGACGCTAGCTCTCTGATTGTGTGTGTTTGAGCTGCATCCTCTTTTTGCATCACTGTTTATCAGTTTAATTTCTAACAAACTGAATTTAAAATAATTTATTCAATAATCTGGATTGAATTTATTCAATAATCCAATAATCTTGTTGGAATTCAGAATATTAAATAGACTTTTGAGATCAGATTGAAAAAGTTTTAGACGACTTGGTGCTGACGAGTTTAGTACCAGAAAATTTGGTAAATTTAACAGGAAGAAATTAATCAGATTCATCTAGTAATTCCTACAAGAATTCTGGTTCGTCCATTTTCCAACAGACATACTGGTTGACTCTACCAGAATTCTAATTAATGCAATCAGATTTTTTTCTCGGTGTACGACACGTATTTTACATCTTGTAATGAATTCTTGCGGATACGCAAGACTTGCAGCAAGACTTTTCAATTTAACGATAGAAAACTGGAATGCGCAATGTTTCGATAAAAGACAATCAGATTAGGAAAATAAAACTTCGAATGAAAATGTTTACATAAATACGATAGAAAGACAATATTCTCGTTAGTTGTTATTACGAGCCACCCATGGGATTTTCACCCCGGAGAAACAGGTGCACAACCGGTTTGAGATACAACGTGCAACGTGTTACGATGCTTTCCCCGTGGGCGCTCTTCGATAAATTCGCCCACAGGATCTTCCTTACGGGACACGAGAGGCGTGCTAGTACGCCATATCAACAGAAGTTCGTTTAAAGTGAAATTTTAGTGAAAATGCAACATCACAAGATATATACTAGAGAGGTACTTTATCCTCAGGGGCAAATTACGATCTCACAAGATATGGAATCAGTAGGTAATCATAGATATCGAATTATCGATCAGTAGAAGTTTATTTATTACATTATATTGTAGAGTTATTATATTATATTATATTATAGTTTTAATTAATAGATTATAGTCTCAATTTATATGCTTACATAATTCATTATTCATTATTTGATGACATCCTCAAGGGCTTTCAACAAGTATTGCGAATAATAGAGCTTTATTAGCTTGAAATGAGATTAATATTGTTTTGAAGTGTAATTCTATTATTTTATTAGGATT